TGAAGATGTGGAAGGCCCAAAATAATGAGGTACCAGGAAAGCCAATGTAGAAACGCAGACCATCTCATACTGCCTTGATAATGACGATTCTATTTATGGATGATGGGCACATAACTGAAAATCTCAGCCTATTGCAGTCTGCAACACTATTCATTTAACCTATAATTCAGGTTGAAGAGGGTCTGATGGAGCTGCTGTCCTGACAAATGAATTCTCTTTCTGATAAAACTAGGCCGCTCAGTGCAAGCCTCCCCAATGAGAGAACAAAGTACCGTTAAGTATTTATTGCAATTACTTATTTAAATAGAGCAAAGTTGATGAACCAAATGCTGAGTTTTATTTCTGTCATCCGGCAATAGTTCACATCAGAAGGGAAATACATTTCAAACAGCCTTGATGCAAAGGATAGGGCCTCAACAAGAAAAAGGAAAGGGAGGGGAGTTTGTCTTGAAAGATCCCCAAGGAAGTAATTATAAGTATCTGGTATGGATAAGGAAAAGAGGACGGCATTCTCAGCTCAAACCTGAGTTGACAGGTTGACAGAAGAGGCCTTTTTCCACAGAGCCCTGCCTCTGGTCTTGGTGTCTGCTGCAGTATTTTCTTATTCATAAGAAGAGTCACTGCTGAGGCAGAAATAAAACCAGTAAGATATATTTAATTGGAGCATTTCAGGTAACAAATTGTGAATGAATAGATTTAATTATTAGGTTTTTCCCCCCTCATTCTCAAACTGATAAGAAAAAAAGTCTGAAAGATATAGCTTTACAGAATAGTCCTGTAACAGGATTAGGTCCTTGGGGTGGCCATGAAACTACCTGGTGTTCACGTGGCTCCTGCCCCACTACAGCTCCTCAAGGTACCCTCCCTTTTTCTTTTCCTTGAAAGAACTATTATAGTGTTCAGGGAGGCTGCCCCAGGGTCCCAGTGACCCCTAATCCACTTTAGTAAGCTGGTCCCTCCTTGACCCCAGTCTTGCCCGTAGGCACTGAGCTCTGGCCCTATCTGTGCATCAGATCTATATTTGCCTTATGATCTATTTTTGTGATCTTCATCCTCCCCTGCAGCCACAGCCATGCCTCACAGATGTTACTCCATGTTCATTCAGAGAGGGTCTTCTGGCCCTAACTTAGCTCTTGGCCTCCAGGCCTTAAACCTTGCTCCAGTCTTCCTGGCCTTGGGCCTTTTATTCTGGCTGCAGCCCTCAACCCAGGTACACTGTCCTGGATCATGGCTTCTGACTCTAGCATCCTGCATCTTTGTGCTTCTGGCTTGTCCTCAACCCTCTGGGTCCTTGACCCTGGGCTGGCCTGACTGCCATGGAGTGCCCCACCAGGCACCCCTTCATAGCTTTCACACCTCCCCAGTAGCCACAACTTAGTCATCCAGTCTCAAGCTTAAAACACAACATAAACACAAGCAAGCTGCTTTACAAACTAAGAAGTCTCACCCCCTTCCTCCTCTCCGCGCCAGATCAGTGTTGCCTGTAAGACATAATTCCCATTGAGCTCTCTCAATCCAGCTCTCTTAGATAGCTTGGGGGCCTGCCAGTCTGTCTCCTACAGTCCTCCTTTCCCAGGAGCTCCTTTCCCTGCATCATACAGGACCAAACTGCCTGGTTGGGCATAGGCACGGAGTTTATATGGCCCAAAGCCCCACCCCTTCCTGTCACATGGCTCCCCAGCCACACACACACAGGTTTCTACTTGGCCTTGATGAGCAGCCTGCCCTCCTCTGTTGCAGAGCCCGCTGCTCTCCCCTCTTAAAGTGACAGGGCCCTTGTCCTGTTACAAGGCCATTGTACTGTTGCATTATCCATCACTGAATACGCAATAAGACTGTAAAAGCTTTCCATGATCTCCTGAATGTCTCCAGAGCCCCACAATCTACTGTAAGGTGACAAGTTCAAATCTAACTTGATCTTTCTCTTGACTCAAAACAATAAGGGGGCAGGCTTACTCAGCACACGCACTGCAGTTCTTAAATGATTTGAAAATACAGTGTACCTTTCTGTAACCCAGCTTCTGGAAATAAAAGTATGGATGACACGAAAGTTCTTTGTCAGAAACAGAAGGCTGCCGTGTCATGGTGAAACAGAAAAGATAAAAAGTGACGACGGCAACCATGTTGTCTGAAAATCCCAGTGAAACTTGGCATCCAGAAAACCTGTTAGACTGAAAACCTTCATAAGAAAATCTGAATTGCAATTTTGCAGCAAGTGCTGCAAAAATCTCAGCTACTTCCTTTTGCTACTAACGTCAACTCAGTTTGATCTCAGTTAAATCTCTGTCAGCTAGCACTCAGCAATACCCTAGTCTTTCTTGGAGCATGTTGTTCAGCTACATTGGAAGGATCAGAATAGAGTCAAATATATAATTCAAGGCCATAGCAAAATGCTACAATCAAGTGTAGTAAAAAAAGCCACACATTGCCTCTAGGGGCAGCTGAGTTACCAAGATGACTTAAAGTAGCAAGATGAATTATTACATCCTCTAAATAGGACTTTGAGAGTTTTCAGTTAAATTTCTGGTCTCAACACTATGATTTCTGTCCTGTAGAGCAGAGGGAAGCTTCAGGAAGCAGAAGCAGCTTCAGCTGCCACATTGCTCATTGACTTCTGCAAACACTGTTTTGTTGAATATATTTCAGACTTTCAACACTTCCAACCTATATTTTGTTGGAACTGGTATCCTAAATTGGGCAGGTTTTACATTATTTTGTCTCCTGGAGTAGTCACAGAGCTCTAAGTATACATTTTTCTCTTCACATTTGGCTTAGATGATTTTCTACCCAACTGACATTTGCCTAGCCACACTCACCTCACAATTAGGCAAACACTCATGCACAGTACTCCTCTTGTTCTGCAAGTGGATATGTATGGGTGGATTCTTTTCTCCTTCGAAGCCCTGCTGAAGTGAACAAGATTTTGTGTGAGTGCAAGCATCTGCCTGGATATGACAGCACATGGGATTGGAGTATGTGTTTGCAACACTCTTGTTGCATGTGTGACAACTGTTTCTTGGCCAACACCCAAAGGATTGAAGCAGGAACTTCCAGAACTAAAAGTATGAGTTGCTACACTTTGAACTGAAAAGGCAAGGCATTTTGACTACAGGTTGTAACAATCCACATCCGCTGTGTCAGTGAGTCTCAATTCTTTCAGAATCAAGGCACCCCTTAGAAAGTGTCAGCTCTTAGCTTTCACTTGCTTTTAGACAACAGAAACACAATAAAGCAACTATTTTGTTGCAAAGAGCTCAACAAAGACCACAGAAGGTCAGAATCTGTTTGACACTATAGATTCCTATTTGATAACAGTGATGAAATTGTGTCGCATTCCTTGGCACCCTTAAAGGGATCTCATAGCACCCCAGTGTGCTGTGGCACCTGGTCGAAAATCGCTGCTGTGTAGGTTGATATACAGGTGGGATTACCCTAGAGTACTGGCATGCAGGAGGCATTACTAGTGGCTAAAGCATGCAAACTTCCTATATGAAATGCATGTTCATGCTATTTTAAACTTTAGAACTGAGTACTTTGTCATGACATCACCGGCCACGTCCACATGAGCCTGGACATTTGTTTCCCTGGGGACAAGAAGCAGTGGTACACCTTGTGGTGATGCTACTTGTCCCTGGGGAACACCCATGCCTCGTGCTCTCTGGTGCACAGAAAATTACTCCGGGTGGGCTAGGAAAGGCTGGGGCCAGCACTGAGGTGGCACTAGCACCCTTATCTGGAGCCTTGGGGGCCTCCTAGCACCGCAGCAGCAACAACAATCTTGCTGCTTGGAGGCTGGCCTGCACTAGAGCGTGGCTCTGGCTGGACATGCTCTGGTTTTGGGTGGTGCGTGCTGCCCCCACAAGCAACAATCTGCTTTTGGTTTTTTTGGATGGGTTTTTTGACCCCGGGATCTCCCAGCGTAAAAAAACCCAAACATGCTGCTACCTTGCAGCATGGAGAACAGCTGAACGTGCAGTCTGCATGTGCTGAATGTGTGGTCCACATACCGCATGGGTGTGCTCGTCTGGATACAGCCACCATGTCCAAAAAAAGTCAGCCTTTAGTCAAAGCTTCTGCAAAAAGCTGTTCAAAATGTAACAGCTCTTCTGCTTTGGAAAAGCAGCTTACGTTAGTTTTCAGTAATGTGAAAGGCAACCGTGAAATGCAAGACTATTAATATTTCAAAGTGTTCTGGTGTCATAATAGATCATGAAAGTGAGGCTTGCATGGTTTGTGATATTACCGGAAACTCTAGAAGTATTTATAGCCTTCTTCACACTTGACTATTTTTTATCATATAGAATACATTGATCCAAATATAAATGAAAATGATAAAAACCTATAAAAATGCAAAACAAGGAAATATTCTCCCTTGTCTCTTTACCTTCTTACTAACTCAATTTTTCATGCTTTTTATCCTTCCCTTTTCATCTCTCTCTGCCCTCCCTCATTTTTTTATACCTTGATTTACAGCTCTTTCTACCTCTTGGAGCTCTGCTCCAATGTTTTAATCACTGATTAGTGATGAGCATCCAAAAAGTTGCAGAGATCTGGTCCATTCTAAAAAGCAACCAATAATGCAAAGTCACATGTGAAGTCTATATGTACTTCCAAGTCTTTGGACATCTCTGTCTCCTCCCATTAAATCTTTGATCTCTCGTAGGTAATAGAAGGCAGAATTTTGTCCCAATTTTAAATATTTAGTGAATCAATATTGATTTAGACATGGATTTTTTTAAAGCATGTGGGTGACTTAGGAACCCAACTGCTATGTCCTTTTAGTAGGACTTATGCTCCTATATCGCTTTCTTGCTTTGGAGAATCACACTCAGCAATTTCTGTAAATGACTCTTAGCAATGTAGAAGCAGTCATTTTATTTTATTTTATGATCCCCCTCATACAGCTCTTCTTTCCTTGACTGATTATGACAGGATTGTTATCTTTCCTCTGCTGTAATAACTGTGCTATCTCTTTTTTCTAATGAATCATAATTATTTAGTCCAGTTCCCAGTATTAGCTGGAAGAGGTCTGATGGAACCCCATTGGCAAGGAAAATCAAACACTATAAAGCCAAAGGAGTCCTTGAAATCCCAGATGTTCAGCAAGAAGATGAAGGCTCTTATGAGTGTATTGCAGGAAACATTCGAGGAAGAAATGTTGCAAGAGGTCAACTATTTATCTATGGTGAGCAAATGGAATTGTTTTTACATAAAGTATGGTAGCATTTGGAAGTATTCGGCAGATAATGAGGTCCATTAGCCCCTTGCAGAGAGATAGCAGGGGAAAATGTAGTTTCAGGTTAAGCTGATTAATAAAATGATTGGAGGCTTGAAATGACCTTCAGTGAATTACAATTTAAACTTCCGCAAATACAAGATATTGTGTATTAAGAGTCAGATTGGAAATGTAGGCTGTGCTATAAAGGTTAATATAAGGCAGAAAGAAACACAATGCATTTACATGAAACTTTAAGGATGGATAGAGAATTTACTCTCAGACCAATGCATATTGCAGCATGGAGCTGTACTATCTCAGTAGCAAAATAGGGAGGGAAAGTTTATTGAGTATTACATAATCCATCGTCCTAGTTCAGCTATGTCGATTTGCATGTTAGGGACAGAATCATTCCATCATTTTCCTCTATGTGGGAATAATAACTTCACAAAACTTTTCCTCTCCACTTCTGAGATCCATGTAACAAAGAGGAATATAGCAACATCTTATGTCGTTTACTCCTGTGCATAAGTAGACAAACCCACATTTTTGTTGTACATATGGGCAGTGAAATCTTTATATCCATACAAAATTGAAAAATTAGTTAAAAAGATAAAAAGGACAGTGAGAAATAATATGGAGCTAGGCAGTGATCCTGCAATTGACTTATTATGAGGACACATTTTGAGCTTTTTAAGGCAATCTCTTCTATCTATGGCACAAACAGAAGTGCAGCTCTCCGTTGTAACCAGTATAAGTGATTGGAAAGTGGTTTAAATTTGTAACACAACAAAAGTTCAGTGCACATCACCCACTTTCAAAAAGGTTTAAGATAAACCTGGATGGATGTAGTATCAGACTTAATTGATTTAGGTAAAATTGGTTTATTGAACTTCTGTACCAGATCCTCTCCAGATTCTAGTTAACCCACAGTCCCCCAGCATCCCAAGATGCTTTGTACCTCCCCACAACCTCCACTCCTGCTCATAGGATGGGCAGATTAGACTTGGCCCAAGGTGTCTGCTCCAGTTGAGCAGGGAGGCAAGCTTTGGTGCTCCCAGCTTCTGGCCTGGGCCACTGCAGGCATGTGGCTGCATTTCCAGAGTCATAAGTGAATGTCTGTTCACTTGCTTATTGTTTCCATCTACACATCTTAAACTAATCTGAGAAGATTGAATCGATTCAGACTCAGGCTTTTTAACTGTCTGTACGTAGCCTTGTAATCCTGATGGTTAATGTCAAGGTTTATGCCAGAAATAGAAAAACTTGCTGATGTTTCATTTATTGTTTCTTCATTTTTGGAAGGGTGGGGGGGGTTGGTTATTCATTTCCAGTTATATTCACTGAACATGAATCAAGTGACTGCATTAAAATTAAGTTTAGCAGATTACCTTGACATGAATAATAACTACAAATTTAATTACAAAATTATTATTGGAGTTAATGTAATTTAAAATGACAGGCTTATTAATTGTACTTTGCAAATTAATTAATAATTGTTGGTAGATAATGAAATGTATAAAAACAACAGACAGAAGAATTTACAAAAGAATTTTCTCCATAATATTAGAAGTGAGCAGATATGTTTTGCATGCAATTTCCTTCTCCATGCTCATTCCTAGTCTCTTGGAAAATATTATATCGTTTTCTCCCGTCTTGTATCTGTCTTAACTGTTTAGACTGTAAACTGTTCTGGCCAGGGACTGTCTACTACTCTGCGCAGTGCTAGTTCTATCTAGGTTGGTACTTAGGCTCTAGCATAATTAATGTAATTAGCCGTTCGAATTAAATTTAAGCATACTCCAACCTCCTCTTTACTGTACACGTCTGTTCCTATTATGTGAGGTGGGTTATAGGAGTGATCTGTGGATGCATGAACTCCAAGAACACACACCTAGTAGCCTCACATCAGAAGCTGATCTGAAAGGCATTTCGCCAATAGTTTGTTCTGGTCAGGCTGAGAAATTTGATCACAATCTTCTTCCTAAACTGAGGCCAGACTGTGGTCCTGAGATAAGGAGAACATATCCAAGAGTGTCTCTCAAGGGAGCACAAAAGCAAGTCCCTTTCTTCTCCAGCTTCTAAAACAGACTCAAGGTATCATTGGTGGTAGATTCTGTAATACTCGGACATTCCTTGGCCAGCAATAAATTCGTAGATCATAGCAGCTCTGTCCCAGTACATGTGCAAAATAGCAATTCTACCCTTAACTATCTAGCCCTTGAATTCATATGATCTGAGAGAGATTTGGAGCCAACTGCTTCAAGCAGCTTCAACCTTCTGCCATTTTTAATTCACTCAGTCAAACTCATTGGATGAGTAAGAATGCCATAGGTCATATATGCAGGATTTGACCTATAGTTACCTTTAAAAATATTTCAACAGTGCAGCTAACTTGTTATGTTAACATACAAGCATTTGGATTGAATCTTCTTATTCTCGCATGATGGGCTCTGTTGGTATGTTGTTTCCTAATATTGCCAACATTTAAAATATGCTTGCAATGATATATGTGCTCCAATACTGCAAAAGAGAGCATATGAACACCCATAATATTTTCAAAACTGACAAATAATTGAGTGTTTCAATTCTGGGGTGTTCAGTTTCTGATACCAGAAAGGGGTCTCAGTTCCAGAAGATCAGTCAAAGCAATGTCAAACAGTTCATCCCAAATTGAGGAATCTATCATCACTTTTACAAGTTTTGACTGCTGAGGTGGCTAATAGTCACACTCATTTTTCTAACCACTAGCCATCTGATTTCTCAAACTTTCTCATGAGTTAGTCCCAAAGCCGTATGCCTTAAAGCTGAAGAAAAGCATTAATTTAAAATATAATAGGAATGTATATGTCAAATACTCATTATCTTTGTTCAACCCATGAGTTAAGGATACTATTCCTTCAGAGTAACATAACTTTTTCCTGGTTAAAATGCTTTTCTTTCTTGTTGCCCCACTAATTCAGAACTCCCTGAATGGGATAAAAAAATCCAAAATGCCTACCTATCTCTGTATGACAGCTTGTTTTGGGAGTGCAAGGCAAGTGGAAAACCAAACCCTTCCTACAGTTGGTTAAAAAATGGCCATTCCCTAATGCCAGAGGTAAGACTTATTTACTTTTCTTTTCTTTAATTCAAGTCTAGTAAGTGTGTTGGACTTAGGTTGAATTTTCTTTTTGCTGCTGGACTTTTCATTATAATTTAGCATCTATAAAGGAATAATGCAAGTATAGTAAATTATACAAAAACACCTCATAACACTAATCATGAACAACCTGACTTGACTTAACCTCATGTACCACATGAATTCTTAATATATGAGTCACTTATTTGTATTGCACATATTGAAGGCTTTCTGAATATCCGAGCGATGTCTATCTCTGAGAAGATAAGCAAAAGCTGAAATGAGAGAAAATAATTGATAAAAAGGAATGAAGGAGGAATGAAGAGGAAGGGTGATTGTGTAGTCATATGGCAAAGTAGGCAGAGAAAAAGGAAATCCTGGGGAGGTCCGATTTCTAATAAATGTATTTGGATATTTCCAAGGAAAGAGTCCCCTATCTTCGGAGAATTATGGTAAACAGTTTCTTCCATTAGGGCCAGCTTTTTGTGTCAATGTACCAGTCTTCAAATGCTGTTCAATTTTTAGATTGCCACTTCTGTAGCACTCCTGTCATTAGTACTCTGCTGAGGCAAAGTTTTATTTCATGTATTTAGGTTCCACTTGGGCTTTAAAAATTACATGCCTAGCTTGCAACGTGACTATTTCATGGGGGGGGGGGAAATAATAATTCAGCAATTAAGTGTTGTCCAAAACAAATGGACATGGAAGCATTCCCAAAGCATATGGGTTAAATGAGCACCTGCTGGGTCACAGCACCAGCATTTGTCTGGGTTGCTGATAGATATTTTCAACAACAACAGGGTCCAGTACTCCGCATGGTTTTTCTGCTAGGTTGATCTTAAATGGAAGTACTAGATACACTGGAGGTCATTAGCTAGAATTTATTATGGCTGAATTTTGTTTAAAAAAAAATCATCATTTTACAGTATTATTGCCTTTTCTTAAGTGGGATCTTCACGTCTTTCTCCCTTTGAAGACGACAGTAGTATTCAGAGGCTGTCATTCTCCAAATGTATCCTTTCAATATAAAATAGGAGAAAACACACTGAGGTCACACCAGTATGTTCATAGAACTTACATATTGTGTAAGGGAATTGTGAATGGCATACTTGAGGCAGCAACATGTTGAATGTTATTGCTTAATGGACTAAACAGATATTGTAGAGTGAATAAAATATTCACTCACTCTCAGCACTGTGCTTGTTGAAAATATCTTAGGAAAATATGTTCCATAAGTTTTCCACCTTAATCTTCATTCTGTAGTATATGCCTGCTCTTTGTCAAGTCCTTCCTTTGTGCCTATATTGCTGGCCATTTCCCCATTATTTCTCCTCGTGGTCATGGGGTGCTTTGTCCTTTGTTTTGCCTGCATAAGTTGTAAGAGCTGGCTGAGAAATGGGGGGAATTCAGTTTGTTCAAGAGATGCCTGTATTTTGTGAAAAAGGGGTTCTCTGTTCATACAAAGTTTGTAAAAAAACATTGAGAGGATAGCAAATGACCTGAAGGTAAAACTAAGTATGCAGAAGATATCCATAGTGAGAGCCACAAAAAAAAAAAAAAAGGAGATAAGTAATGTAATGTTGTTAATTAGTATGCAATACACCAGCCATACAACCCCGAGCTATGCTCTCATCAAAATTTGTAAGCTAAACAAGGTTGAACTGTGTCAGTACTTGGTTGGGAGACCTCCAAGGAAAATCTAGTGTGCTGAAGAAAATGGTTATGATGACTCAATAGGTGGCACTCTCTCCTCTGCAGAGATACAGTAGCAGCAGACCATCAAATATTCTGTGCAAATGGCATTATTTTTAACTCTTAGGTGGTCACATTACATACATTCAGCAGAACAACAATATATTTTAGATTATTACAGTTTAGTAGAGGATTATATTATGTACTGTATCACCATATGGTGCCCTCTAAATTCTATAGAGGCAATAGAGCCAGTCTAAAAAAGAAGTATCATAATAATAAAAATATCTGTTGTTCTTAGACTTGCTTTCAGTGATGGAATTTATATTTCCTATTGTGGGTTTCTTTCTCAGTGATCCATTTTGGAGAGAATATTCCCTCTTGCTTTTGCAGATTTCTACTTTACAATGTGGCTTTTATTGTCCCTGGAGGATGGTAATAGTTAGCCTTGAAATATTTGGTTTTAAGTTATGTTTGTAGTACAGAGCAGGGTTTATTATGTGCCAAGGAAAAATGAAGAAAAATAAATTCTTTTAATGCACAAAAACAAAAATCCGGGGCAAATTTATCCCCTGTACAGCCTCATTGATTTCAGCAGCACTCCACCCATGATTAAATTGGCCCAGTGTGAGCTAAAACTCAAGCTAAGCATATCAAATCTCCACTCCATAATCTGCACTGGCTGCCTGCAGGTTTGCAAGGAAAGTTTAAGATGTTGGTTTGGATGAGAGCTTTGCAACAGAACATTTTTCCTTTAGAAAATGCCAGTCTGCTGCAATTTAAATATCCTGCAGGAACATCTTGATCAGGGATCTTCACAGATGGAATATAGCCTTTATGATCATAACTGCAGGACTCAATATGATTTTTATTCTATGACTAGCTAATTGCCCATCATGAATGGGGGAGAGTTTCAGGGAGTGTTTACATGCCCCCCCCCAATTCCGCTCACCCTTCGGGGCCAGCCACATAAACAGTCCCACTGCTGCCACCACCTCCTTCTTCAGCTTCCAGCGCAGCAGCTCCCCGCCGCCTGCCTCCACCTCCTCCCCGCAGAGCAGCGCGGTTTCCCACCATCACCCTGCCTGAGGCATCGGTGGTGGCTCCCTCCCTCCCCCCACCCACCCACCTCTACCTGCTCCCCCGGAGCAGCGGGGCTCCCACCTACCTGCCCAAGGCAGCAGTGGCTCTCTCCCTGCCTGATGAGGTGGAGCCCCTACATCCACTTGCCGTCAGCCCTCTCAGCGGGCCATGCGCGGTTGACCAAAAGGGTTACGGACAGATAGACACACAGACAGACAGACTAAGCCCTTTATTACATTAGAATTGTGAAAGTCAGGTCATTTTCATATGATTCACATAGTGATCATGTAGCCCTTAAGATACCAAAAATATTTAACTGTTGAGGCAGATGGGGTGTTATATATAATTACTATTTAGCTAACATCAAGAAACAGCACATAGCACAAAGACAATCTGAATACTGTTATCTTCTCACCTTGCTATATTTTCTGTCTCCGTCTTGGCCAAACTAAGACACTCAGCTGAGCCGTTCCAAACCTAAATACTACACCGCTATTTTTAATTTGTAGCATGATAGTACCAAGAGACTCGGGTCAATTAAGCTAAGCACCATATGTGAGGAAATTATAGCATCAGAAAACCACCAAGCAAACCATGAAAGACAGCCAAGGGGAGGAGGAAAGAGGTCAGAATAACAACACTTTTATGCTGGTATTTTATGACAATGAAGTCTCTCACACTTGTGAGAAACCCCGCTATGAGTCCTCCTACAGCCGTGCCACCATCCTTCTTCACAATGTCCCTTAAGGCAATTCCTGCCAACAGTTAAATGACTAGCTAACCTCTTGACTGCCATTGTCTCAGTGTTTTCTTATACTCCTCCATTGCTGTTATCATTTTTTCATATACTTAGGTTATAAACTGTATGAGGGATGCAGTATGTCCTTGTTCTGAGTTCAATAACATGTAATACAGTAGAGTCCTGGTCCATGACAAGCTATCCTACACACAGTGGCAAAATAATATATATAAATATATATTATATATAACTATATACAGTAAAATCCCTGTTATCTGTCATTTAAGTAACTGGAACACTCTATTAACCAGAATTTTCAGCCGGTTAGTTGGATGCAGGCAGAGGGGAAGTGTGTATGTGGGGGGGGGGGGAAGCTTGCATGCAGTGGCCACCCACCACCCCATGCTGCAGCCACTCAGTGTGCGGCCTCCTCCCACCCCAGGCCCTGCTCTGCTGGTGGCTGCTACCCCTCCCCCCGAGTCCCCACACTCTACATCCAGCCAAAAACCACCAGTCTTAGGTAACCAGCATTTTTAGATACCTGGCACTCCCCATTCCCTACTTGTGCTGGATAACAGGGATTTTACTGTATATATTAATATATACTATTATTATAGTGCCACTGTATCTAGGATAGCTTGTCATGGACCAGGACTCTATTGTATCACATGCTTTATGAACTCAGAACAAAGACATATAACTATAATATATATATGCAATACAATAGTGCCACTGTATGTGTACACACACACACACACACACACACACACACTAATTATGCTAGAGTCAACTGTGGAGGCCTTAAAAACATGGGAAACAAAGCACACCATCTCTGTGGTACTTCTCTAGATTGAGTTGATTACCCATGAGCTTCTCAGATGCTTTCTCTGTGAGCAAACAGGTATGGTAGTTGATAGCACACCATGTTTTGTACGTGCACTAGCACATGCTATGAATGGAGGCTGTCTTAATAATGATGATGGTGGTGAGATGATGATGTGATTGCTGGTAGCGTCACTATAGTTTCATAATTATGAAAAATGGAGCAGCAGGGTTTATTTAGAAGGTACTGGCCAAAGGGAATGTTAGCACCTGAGAGTGAGGAAGTTTGATGAAGCAGGATAAGATAAAGAAAAGTTCAGGTATGGCAGTACAAAGCAACTTTCTGAGAGGATGCAGGGAGGGGCCTGGAGCAAACAACCAAGAAGAGGAGGGGAGAGAGTCAAAAAGTACAAAACAGGACACAGTGTGTTGCCATTGTGAGTGTCTGAGGTCCCACATCAGTGGCTCCTGGGTTTACTTCTGCCTGCTGAATCCCTGGATCTATCCTGGAGATTTGTTTTCTTTCCAAAATCTACATAGTTAAAGAAGGACGGTCATATATGCATCCTAGTATTCCTAGAAGCAGGTCTTCCCAGATAATTCCCGGTTTTGAGGGACTAGGGAGGAGACAGGAGACAAAGAGGTTTTTTTCACTTCTTATGGTTTCTTATCCATACTTCACAGTAGCAAAGTGTCACCATGCTGTGGAGAGAGCGTGGGTTGGCACAGCGCACCGCAAATATTTGAAACCACAAATTGCAAATCCGTGAATAGCGAGGGTTTCCTGTATACGTGCTTCAGTTGCTTATAAGCATAACCCTACACTTGAAACACATGGGTGAATCCTATTGCATTGCAGACAGTGGGACTACAGCATGTTTAAATGTTCTGATGAATTGAAAAATTGGGTTCTTATAGTATAACAGCCACCACACAGTGGGTGTGCCTACACGTGCACTTTATTGTGCGGTATCCTATTTTATGTGCATTAAAGCAGCGTGTAAAAAACTGTGCTATTACGATAAGGTGCAGTAAAATAGGCTACTGCGCATTAAGCATCACCTAAAAAGTGCGCACTTGCGCTACTGTGCATTAGTGCAACCTAATGTGCATTTAGTACCTCACACTGGAGTTCCTAAATTTAATGAGCATTGGGAAAAGCTCATTAATGTACATGGAGACGCGCCCAGTATGTATTCTAATGCAGTTGTGTTTCATTTGTCGTTATCATTTTCATCTTTTTTCCCCGCTTTGTTTTCATCGGCATCCCAAAATAAAATGTCAGCTTCTACATCGCGACAGAAGTGCACCTACATAGTAGTATGAGACACTGCTTTTATACTCAACTGCTCTAAGAATATGTTTGCTTTGTTTCGGTTTTTCCCCCCCCCCCCCTTGTATTAGGAGAGAATTCAAATAGAAAATGGAACTCTAACCATAACTATGTTGAACGTATCAGATTCTGGCCTTTATCAGTGTGTTGCAGAAAATAAATATGACACCATTTATGCCAATGCTGAGTTAAGAGTGATAGGTAAGTAGACGGGTCATTAAAAATAATCAGATACTGACCAGAATGGAAAATTAATTTCATAGTTCTGAAAGTAAGAAATGCAGGGACTGACTGAATACCCAAAAAATTATGTTCCCGAATATTTCTTTAAGTTCTACATGGCTGTTCAGTTTGACTGCTCCCCTTACTAGTTACTATTCATGGACATTTTGAAAAAAAATGGGTTTGTTTGTCTAAATGTTTGGGGAAAGTATTTGCTTCGGAAAAAAAAATGTCTATTCTTGTGAACAAATGTATATTCATGTGAAGAAAGTTGCTTGCTAAAGATGCTGTCCTTCCTTATTATGGATAATTATTATTTATTATTCCACAATTTGCATTTCTCAGTCAAATTAGGGAGCAGAAATAATATTATGTGGCAAACAAATGCTACAGATAATGTCCAGTAAATAGTCTCAACATAGGTTTCAAAGAAACCCATTGCCTGAAATCTGTTAATGTGGGGTGAAATTTATCCCAGTGTAGAGGACTGTACAACATTCAGATCCCACTGACACAATCCAAACGTGGCCTTTAATGGTACTTAAGTGTTGGGGCTTTGTGCTACCCCTCTGTATTAAGGGAGATTCCACCCATTATGTATTTGACAAATGTTTGTGAACAACGAATGCATTTCAGAGCCCAGGATCAGTTCATGAACAGAAACAATATCATTGAATAATTTATTTGCAATGAATAATCTACACTCTATAGACATGAATAACATCAGCTAGATTCAGGCTTTGTGCTATTAATTCTGTACACACAGTCCTTTTTCCATGCCCCTCAATCCTGATAAAAAAAAATGATCTTTTCTTCAGATCTTCAGACTGTCCTAAGCAAAGCTATCTGGGATACTATAGAAAGAGGAGTTGCTTTAATATTTTTTTGGCCAAAAGGGCATTATTAATACCAGGACACTGGATCACAAAAATCAGATAAACACTTGAATCCAAATCTGCAAAAGTAAAAAAGCTACTGGATTCACATACTACATTGGAGGAAAAAAGATCATTTATTTTGTCACATACCTCACATGCTTTTTGTTTTTCTCCTCCCTTCCTCTTCAAATTTAGCCTCGGCCCCTGATTTTTCCAAAACTCCTGTGAAGAAAATGTCTGTCGTTCAAGTTGGGGGTGAAGTTACTATTGGCTGTAAACCAAATGCTTCTCCCAGGGCAGTTATTAACTGGAAAAAAGGCACAGAGGTTCTGCGACAGAACAAAAGGTACTTTACCAATTCGCTTTCAACATTGCTGGCATTTATTTTTGTCGGTCTTACCATCACTAGAATGCAGTTGATTTGGCATCACGTTTGACAGCTCACTGGTAAAAGCTTGTGTGTCAATGGGCCTGTTCATCTTAAGGAGAAGCCATGCAGTCTGACTGACCGAGAACATAGGCCATGTGCTTTGTTCAAATGTATATGGGTAATTGTAAATCTCTGTGATATATAATTCGGCAACATTCAACCTCTATTTCATTGCGACACCCTCTGGGTCCACTTGCTTTGCCATATGCAAAACCTCCGTGAATCAACATCATGTAGAAATCAGTCAAAGTTTGAGGGAGAATGAAACTATGCCCAGGATGCACAGTACCTACATAGGTTGCATTGCAAACTTTGGTTTATGTCAGCATCCCTAGAGGGTATAGGGCACAATTTAACCCCAAAGAGAGTATTTAACATCTTCTGTGTAAATGTGTAAACCATTATACAAGGTGAAAGTCAGTAGTGGTGGCCACTAGTGGTAAGTCAAATATGATAAGTTAAAAAGCTAACAGAACATCTTTAAATTATAAAGAAACATTCTCTGTATAATTTTTCAGCAATTACTAATTATGAGTAGTCGTCTGATTAATGCTTTCTCAGAGCTTTCACGTATTTACAATATATTATACAGTGTATTCAATCAAGCGCTTATTCAAAAGTGCTAGACTATGGGATGCAAAGAGAATATTCAGCTCCTGTAGGTTGCAGAAAGGAAACTGTGAACTTCGTTATACCGAATGATACAGATTGGCTAAACTTTATAAGGGATATTCGGCAATCCTAACCGATATGTATATTCATTACCTATTTTTAAAAATAAATCCTAGACAGAAGTGGCCATAACATTTCATTGGATTTCTATATTCTGTAACATTTAATTATTTATGTTAGAGATAAGAATCCTTCACTTATGGGTAACCAAGACTGAAGGTCTCAAGAACTATTAATAAAAGTAAGCCACTGTATAATTTACATGAAAAAACAATGGCTTGAATTTTAAACATGGATTCCTACAAGATAATTACAGTACCCCTTTAGGCCGTGAGATAACAGTTGGAGAACTCCTGATTATTAACTGATTAAGTAGCTATTGCCACATAGTTCTGGACAGTGGGATTCTTCAAGAATTCCCCCTGTGAAATGAAGCAGAACACAGAAAATGAACTAAAGGTTGGTAGTCTTGCAACTTTTATTCCTCATATAGTTAGCATCACAATAACATGCATCCACTCTCAAATAAAAAGTGAGCAGAGGAAACACACTCCCTAGCTTTCTATATGTATGATTAAATCCTGGCAGGTCACGTACAGTTGAACCATTTTAACTAAATGTTTCCCATTCTGTTCCTTTTCTATTTGATAGCATTTATAATCTCTAAGGATCTCTTTCCCCTCCTTTTTGAAAAGCTGGTTGGCATGTATTCAGAGAAAAAGGGTATACCAGTCCTTCACAGTTCTGACAGGAATAGAGTGATGGACAAGTTGTTAAATAAGTCAAACCATATAACTCCTTTAGGATGACCTAGACAAATTCAATCTTTTGTTATGGAAATGGTGCTACCAGACCTTTGGTGTATATTTCACCCTAAAGCAAGAAAGATATTCATTTTTTCCCCTTCCTCTGCTCACCTCTTGATTTGATTTATTTGTGATAGCTCTGCTTAGTACCAGCACACATTCATGGTATCACATAGTCTGAACAGACTACCTTTTAATTAATTTGGGGTATAAAAGCAAAGCTGAGGTAAGTGGGAAGCACTAATAAAATAAGAATCACCCTCTTGTCATTCTATAAAGAAATCTTGAAACATGGTTTTAGATCATCCACAGCAGTCATCTGCTGGATATTTCCCAGATCATTGTTTCGGGTTTTTCTACATTGGACCCATGCATTTTTAACCTTTCTGGCTAGGGACAGTAGTTACACAGAAACTGGTTTAAGTCATCAGAAACTGGGTTAAACCTGTAACAGAACAGAAGCTCGGTTTACATAAACCAGTTTCAAAAGGGCTGAAACTGGTCTAAGATAAAGTACTTAACTGATTTGAGTCTAACCAGTTTATGAACCTTCTGCCCTGGACCCCTTCCTGGTTCAAGTTAAATCACGGCGCCTCCAGCATCCCAGCATGCCTTGCAGTCCTGGGCTGTGCTGTCTGCCTCAGTGTTTGAGTGGGGGGAACACCCCCCCGGGAAACCCCAGCAGGGGTCTGGGTCCAGGGAGGGGGGTTAAATGCCCCTTCCTCCAAGTACAGAGCTGCCCTGCCCTACTAAATTTACTGGTGGCTGTGACTGGACTACAAATCCCAGAGGCACCTGGAAGCAGGAAGAGGAAGTGATGAGAAACCCTGCAGAGTCCTGCTGCTGTGATTGTGGACTGCAAATCCCAGAGACCTTGGGGGAAGCAAGAAGAGGAAGCAAACACATAGGCCATGCTGGCTATGTGCCAAGAGCCATGCTCTAGCACCCGCCAGCTTCTGGCCTGACCCATTACAGGCACGTAGCTGCATTTTCTGAATCTAAAGTATGTGTCTGGTCAGTTGTTTGTCAGTTTAATCTCCACCATTTAGACTAACCTGCAAAGACTGAATCAATTCAGCCTAGGTACAGACAATTGTGACTGTCTGTACTTATTTCTGAGGCTAAACAGAGCCCTGGTTCTGCCTTTTGTTTTTGGGTTTATTTTATACTTTCAAAGCACAGATTCATTATCTTAAACCTCCTTCTGTCAGCTGAGACACATCAATACAATTTCTTAAGCCCAGAAACTAATGACAGCTTCTCAAGCACAATATTTCCCAGAGCTCCTACCTTGTTGGTACTCTGTTCCTCAAACAAGGCTCTGGTAGCTGATGGTTTCCCTCCACCATTTTGTATACAATATATATTCCTGGCCATATGCATCATTACCATTTATCAGAAGAGGTATAGAGGGAAATTATTGAAAAGACAAAAAAAAAAAAACCCACTCTTTTTTAATAAGTCCGTAGGATTTTTTAATAATCCTATGGCAATAAAGACAAGTACATGCAATTCCAGTTATATCATAACCTATTAGAGATCATCCAGTGAATGCAGCCAGATACAGAACCAACATCCTCTGATATAGTATATGAACCCATTCAGTAGATCACATGGCCTCAAGTGCCCTAAGCTTATATAGTAACTTCTGTGTTGGCTTTCTGTAATGAGAAGTTAAATGAAGGTTCAGAATACTTTAATTTAGTGTAGTTTGGGGGTTTGAGTCTATTCTCATCTTATCCTTTTTGGCCTTCCGCCGCTAATACTTTTGCATAGCTTTGATGAGATTCCTTAACCCCAGTAACTTATCAGTGCCTGTATGCTTGTAAAGAAGAAAGTTCATTTCCCCTTCTAGCTTTTAAATAGAGCACTTGAAGTACAGGCATTAGCAATCAGGGCAGTCCCAGATATCTTAGGCAGCATCTCTAAGTCAACATGAATACAAATTAAGCTCATCTCTTGATGAAATTCTAATTTTACTTAGGGAACCAATGGAATTGATTCTACATCTGCTAAATTTGATTAATCACTTCAGCTCTATTCCTAGCTAACAAGTAAAATGACAGAAATCAAAGGCAAAGGTTTGCCTGCCTGCTTTCAGTGGCTTGTTCTGAGTTCACCTATTGAGATATGAAAATGCAAGCAAAACATCAGACTGCTAGTCAGAATCACTTTGAATTTTCCTCTAGAAGAAAACATTAAATACCAAACATACTGTGCTCAATTGACAACATCATCATTACACCTCCCTCAAGGGAATGCCACGAGCTGCAAGAAGTACTTGGATTTTAAACTTATATTTCATTCGAAAAGCACAATGGTATCTCTTTATGGGAGGATGGCAGACCATGTATTACTGCAAAAGCATGTAAGAAGAAAAGATTATGGGCTTTTCTAATATACTTATTTGTTAATGACTCAGGAGCTACCCTGCTTGCCCTGAATTATGCACAAATATAGGCTTGATCCTACCAATACTTTTGCATATTCTTAATTTTTAATATCTTAATGTTGCTATAGAATTTAATAGGGCTGCTCACATACGTGAAGATAAGCATCTCCAGAGGTAGTTGTTACAGGTATCAGGTCTCTAGCTTATACCCAAGGATGTGGGAACCCTAAGACGGTGACAGCACATGTCTGAGGAGTTTTGCATTCATAAGAACATTAGGAAATTGCTCCAAGAGCTTTTAATAATTCCTCTTGTTCTCTAGGCTCCATCAGTATGTTCCCAGTCATTTCTCTTCCTGTCAATCTCTGTCTTTTCTGTAAGATAAGACAGATGATAGGGGAGCAGAGGAAGCACTAGTGGGTGAAAGAGAAGAGGAAAGAGAGATACTGGGAGAAGAAATGAGCAGGGACAGGGAAAGAAAGGGGAAGAACCTCCTTTTTTCCTAATCCTATCCTTTCTGCTTTGTCATCTATCTTTCTACCATCCCTGCTTTGTTTCAATTTGAAGCCACTCCACTGACATTTACTGAGAAGGAAGAATGTGACCCCCATTTCTATTTGACCCCATGAAATGATGGTGGGCAACAAAAATAAAATTAATACAGCAGTAGGAAATAGGAAGTGACTTTCCTTTCCTTTCCCTTCCTTAGAGAGCTCCATAATGGAACAAGCCAATAAGCATAATTTTATTCTGTATTACTGACTATTTAATGCAATAGTGTTTAGTACTTCAGGTAGCATGTGCATCAAATAGGCAAATGAAACATATGTTCTCATGCTTAAGGAACAATGACAACCTGCATAATACTGGACTTACTGCAATTTCCCTTCTGCACATTGGCTTTGTAATATAATTTTAAATTGTTCATATTCATCTCCTTGGAGCCTTGTTAAGGTGATTCTTTCTGAGGGTGTTATGCTACATACTGAAGATGTCCCAAGCAATCTGTCACTCCTATCATGTCAAATGGAGTTGTAACAAGTTGA